TATATATATATATATATTCTAGTGGAAAGGTAAAGGAAGTAAAGTAGGGTATTTTTTTGGCAAAATGAACATTCTATTTTTTAAAAAATTTGTAGAGCCATACACCCTGCATATCATTTAGAATGTTTGTTGTGTGGGAATAGAGGCAAAAAGCAATCGGTCTTTTGTATATTTTCTTTTCAGGTCAAGTGTAATGTAATACCTCATTATGGCCACTAGATGGAGCTGAGGAGCATAAGAAATAAATACTTATTTCCTGTGCTCCTCAGCTCCATCTAGTGGTTTTAATGTAGTATTATATTACATTCAACCTGTAAAGAAAATATAGTAAGAATGTTTGTTTGTTTTTGCCTATGTTTGCACAGAATGAACATTCCCAGAGATTCGCTGGGCAAATGGCTCTGCAGATTGTTTATAAATAGACCTCTTAGTCTCTTCTAATGGAAAAAAAACATACTACCAACTATTTGTATTATTATTATTATTATTGATTGATTATTTTTTTTTACTATAGTTCCACTTAAAATGTTCGGTACTATTGCAAGTCAACGGACCCTCCGTTGACTTGCAATTTCCATCTGGTTTTGGTGTGAATGCACCCTATATGTCAGCTTTGAGGGCAGCTAATATCTACAGTAGTTGTTTTTCATGCCGGCTATCAAATGTACAGTTTCAATTTTGCTTACGGTATATTCAGGTAGAACTCCGAGGTATGTATAAAGTATGCCAGAAATCTTTATCTGCTCTCCTTCTGTGCCACAGCAAGTATTCATTTTTAACATCTAAATCGGAGCGGTATCAGGTTATTGGGGGCAGAAGGTGGCTGTTCTGATGGAATGTATCAAATACTGCAGAACAGTGCGTAAAGGCTCAAATAGCAAGATCATCGCAAAACAACAGTAACTCACAGCTCTGCTGTCTCTGCTTTCATTTGAAACAAGCAATATTTTTCTGTTGTCTGACTTCTGTTTAAAGTGTATGTCTGGGCAAAGTTTTTTTTAAAAAGCCCCAAAATCATGTGCAGTACATCTCTGATATAAATGCACTTTTATCCAATTTTTCCCTTGAAAAATGCTGCAACAAATCATGTGAACCTGCTGGAACTGACAACACGGTGCCCCTGTTACACTGAAATTCCAACCAGTGTTGTCAGCCCTCCCTGAGTTCACCACTGCAGGGTAACACAAAAATCGCCCCCCCCCCCGCCCCCTTTATTTCCCCTTTATTTCCCCTTTATTGTGTACATAGAGGATGCTTGCAGCTAATGGAAGGGCATGCACATGGGGCATATAACTGAGATCCTGAGGTTATGTTTTTTTTGCCTTGCATTCTGCTCTAATGCTCACAGTTTTGCTCTGCAGCACGTGCTACAACGCGATGCTCATTATCGTATGTTTCCTTTGGCATGCAGGACTACAATGATGAAATTAGACAGGCACAGCTGCAGGAACTCACTTACCTGAATGGTGGATCAGAAAATGCAGAAGTCCCAGGTGCTCGCGGGAAGCAGTCTGTTCGCCCCCGGGGGGCACCGGTGTCCGCGTTGGCAAGGTAACGCTGCATTTTAAGAGCATCTCAGAAGTATTTGTATTTAGGAAGTTTGAACAGCTATTTAAAATATCAGCTCATATGTAAATCACTCCTCTTTCCTGCTATCAGGGCCAATTAAATTCAATTATGGCAAAAATACAGTGAAGGGAATTTATCAAAACTGGAGCAGACATAATCTGGAGCAGCTGTGCATGGCAACCAATCGGCTTCTCTCTTTCATTTTAAAATTTTAACTCTACAAACTGAAGAGAGAAGCTGCTTGGTTGCCATGCACAGCTGCTCCAGATTTTGATAAATTCCCCCCAGCATGTTATAACCTGAATTGGAGTGAGATGGAGAAGCAGATCTTGTATATAAAGCAAGTCTGAGTGTCATTTTTGCATATGATTGAACTTCATGACGGCGGTCACTCCAGTCTCTTAGAGGTTGGTTATGGAAAGGTAATAAGTCACAATTGGCTTCTTACCTTAGATGTAGTGGCTGCATTTGTTTTTCTTTTATCGGTCTTCTTTTTTCTTTAAATTCTCCTGGTGATCCTGCCAGTAACACATTTCTTATCTTATAGAGACAACACTCACTCAATGTACTGTTTCTATGTAGGAGCAACAGACAGAACTTTTCTCTGTAACATATGGGAGAAGTGTTCTGTAGTCCACACAGAGACCTGTTAACAATGTAACTGATAGGAGCGCAGCCGAGACCACTATATATTTGTTATCAAATGTAAGTTATCAAATCACATGATTTCTGGCATCAACAGGTTTTTTGTGAACTTGTTGACTGATATAACAATGGTATTTAACAGAACAAAAGGGAGCGAATAAGCAACGACCATTGTGAGGGTTTACATACGCTTTACACATGGGAGCAAAGAGTGTGTGTGCAAACTACTACCTAGGGAGTCCACCACTGGGAAGTCCGAGATGGAGAAGGACCTAGGGTGTGCTCATAGATCAAAGACTAAGCAGTAGCACGCAGTGCCAAGCAGCAGCCAGCAAGCAAACAGGATGTTATCCTGCATAAAAATGAAAAAAGGGAATGGAAGGCCTAAGCTATGAAGATCGCCTCAAGAAATTAAATTTGTTCTTCTTAAAAAAGAGGCGCTTGAGGGGGGACCTAATTGCAGTTTTCAAAATCATAATAAGGACAACAATATTCGGAATAGGATGTTTACACCAGGAACCAAGAACTCTACTAATGACACAAGGACAGTGGCATAACAATTGCCATAGTAACCCAGGCGGCCGCTATGGGGCCCGGGACTCAGGGGGGCCCAGCCAGGACATCCCCCTGATGCCGTACGGGCCGCCTGGGTCGCTGGCTGTCACTGGCAGGTGTGAGGAGGAACATGTTGTTCCTACACACACACACACACACACACACACACACGTTGAACTAGATGGGCCTGTGTCTGTATTCAACCTTACCTACTATGTTACTACCTTTACCCCCTTTCACTAAAAATCACATCAGCATGTAGCTCTGCATGCTGATATCAAATCATGTTATATTCATTTTATGATTTGCCTCTTAGGCATTAGTGATATAATCCTGGCCTTACAGATGCACCCTGGGAAGGATACATCATCAGTGCCTTCCTGGGAAATGTCATCTGCCAAATCTCACAAGATTTCGGGGAAGGGCATTTTTTTCCCCCCGAGATGATGTGCACTGTCACATGTTCCAGGAGGCAGACCCAGAGTTCCAGGAAGTAAAGGGAGTTGGAATAATTTGTGATTAAAGGAGAACTATGAGGTGAGTGATTTTCAGCCTAATAATCTGAGCCGACCTGTGACAATAAAACTGTCACAGGTCGGCTCAGTAGATCGGGAAGTGGGCGAACACATACCGGCGCTCGCTCACTTCTCGATCCTGTGCCGGCAGAGAGCCGTGAAGGGGGAGGGACTGGATTCCTCCCTCCCCTGTCCGATCCTCCAGCGCTGACTGGCGGAACGGATGGGGGAGGGGGCGTGTTCAGCTGGCTCTGCCTCTAGATAGGCAGAGCTAGCTGTCACTCACTCAGCTGGGTGGATCCAGACATAATTGTCGGTCTCCGTTCCGGCGTCTCTCGCGGTATACTGAGCTTTGGGTGACGGGAGGACGCTAGTTTGTGTCCTCCTGTTACCCTTAGGAGAACTATGGGGAAAAGCCCTAACCCCATAGTTCTCCTTTAATGAAAATGGCCACTTTGAGAGGAATGAAAATAATGCAAAGAATAAAAATCCAGCAATGAACTAGAAGTATCTGTTTGTAAATTGTCATTACTAAACATTTCCAAAGGGGCCCTTTTTTTTTTTTTTTTTAGGGTAAGGGTGAATTTCCTCTTTAAGTGAATGAGCTGAGTTTGTGTTAATTTGGTTGTGCATTACTTGGCCTCTTTATTTCTTAAGTTGTGTGGCGTTTTTACTGAGCTGTTTATCGACTGACCTATTTATTGATTGATGTCTATTGATTGACTTAATCATTAGGGCTGATATCACTTGGCATGTTGACATGAGTATTTGTTCTTTATACAGGAGAGTTGTGTGATTCTGCAACAGCAACACTAAAAATGCTCTCTCCCCCAACTGGAACCTGTATTATTTATGGGAGGGAGCTGGTCTTGATCCGTATTCCATGTATTACTTAGTAGCTCAGAAGGGCAGACAAACATGGTGTTGGCAGTGGTGTCCCTAGACTTTTTGCTGCCTGAGGCCAGGAGGTAGGGGTAATGCGGTGCACAAGAGTGACACTGCCCTCTGCAGACTAGGATGCTCTGATTGGTGTATCACCCAACTTCTGGCAAGCAGTGATGTCACTGCTTCCCAGGAGCTGGGCAAGGCACTGGCTAGAGCGTTCCAGGTTGCTAAGGGCCATACACATCTCCATGCCTGGCTCTCAGCAACCCGGGACGCTCTGGCCGGAAACGATTGTGCAACAGAGTAGCTACTATACAATAAATATGTGGTAATAGCCTCAGGCTGCCTCATTAAAGGAATGGCCCTGGGGCATAGGGCACATCAGCATATATTTATAGCCAAACCTTTTTTTTTTACTCCATAGAAGCCTTTGCTTCTATACACAGAATTGATGATGGCCAACATGCCTAACACAGCTGTGTGTAGTTTGTAAAAATGGCTCTTTTATATTAGACTTGCTAGTTTAGCACAGATACAATCTAGATGTAAAGTTGTCCATTGGCAGAAAGTAAGATTTTTCACGGCTCTGCCCACTATACTGAAATGAGGAATAACCCTGTTATTTTGAAAGGACTTTGGTATGCTTGCTCACCTACTTTGTGAGTCCCGTCATCTGGTCCCAACATATGCCAAGGTAAAATGGGACCAGCCCTCCTATAAATTAACCAACCAGTGTGTAAACTCTTTTGACACCAGGGGTAGAGATGTCACAGTTTTGGCACCCAACATGAGGTGTGTTGTTGATGGTGTTGGAAAAGTTTGAATTGCATAACTTTTTGACAAAACACAGGCATTAAAGATGAAGTATTGGGAAAGTAAAATGTACTTGTTCTAATACTTAGAGCTGGCATGTGACACTGCAAGTATAACATGCTAGCCCTATAGGTTTAGAGCTGAGCGACCACGAACAGCTGATCACTCAGCTCATGGCCTTCTCCCTGCAGAGAATGGTGACTGTCAGTCACAGCTTCTCGCAATGATTCTACCCTCCTCTCTTTGTTCCTCCAGCACTCTTTGGAGATACCGACAGTGGAGGGGGTGGAAACTGCTGGCTGTAGAGAGGCAGAGTCAGCTGTAAATTAGGCAGCGAGGTGGATCCCGACAGTATTGTTGGGATCCTTCCCAGCTACAACGCAGCTAGGTGCTGTCGGCAAATAGCAGGTAGCAGCCTTCTAGATGCTAATTTTGGCTAACAGAAGTACATTAGTAAATATACTCCTTTGACGCAAAAGAGGACTACAGCCAAATAAAAGGTTGAGCTCCAGTTTTCTTTTAAGTTCCTGTGAACTAATACACTGTATGGATTTTGTGAGAAGTCTTCGGAGAAGACTTTGGTGTTGTCCTGTTGGCTGGAATATGTTGATGCAAAAAACTCTATACTTGTTTTAGTACCAAGTTAGAGAAGATGGTGGAGTCTGGGATTTAATTCCCTGCTCTGTATTGTAGGCTTGTAACTAGAGATAAGATAACATGACCTTGAGGGGTCTGTTATCTGACCATGCAGAACATCTAATACAGCAGGCATGTCAGACTAGGTTGTTTTCTCGGCCACATGTAGTATTCTTGCTCCTTTTTTGACTCTAGCATTGGTTTCAGTTATAATCTGAATGAGGCCCCAGGTGTTATCCAGTTGATAATTGCTATATTTCCTTATGTCGTTATTGTATCTCAATACCTAAAGGGATGTTTAAAGGCTCTTTTTCCATATTGTTGGCTGCAGTTGCTATTATAACATTAAGTACCAGAGTGCTGTAATCTTTTTATTTTTTCATGGAATCAAGTGGTGTGGTCCTTTGAAGAATAATCCGCTCAATTTGGCCCACTGTTTCATTTCAGTTTGCCATGTCTGATATGCAGGATCACTGTTTGTGTTCCACTGACCAGGAGGGGATTAATAATAAGCCTTTGTGGTTGTATTTTCCATATTGTTCAGGATGGCTTGCTATAGACCTCCTTGCTGTTGCTTGATTCGGATTTTTACCTTAATACTATTTTGGATATTTATGAAGATTGCTGGTCTAACGATACATCAAGCTGGCCTAAAGGGTACATGTGTACTTAAATTAAAGATACTTTGTCCTTCTGCTCTGCTTATTTAAGAACTGTTTCCTTTCGTTGACTTCTTTTTGTAGTTTGCCTCTTTGTATTGTTGCTAAATTGTTCTGTAGAATGAAATGCTTTGATGCCCCATTGCATTTTCCTCCTATGTTGAGTAAGAGTGTATCCCCTAAAAGTAAACACAAAGGGAGCGCCTTTCCTAGTGCAGATCAATTTATTTCAATAAGCATGAAGTAAAAAGGAGATAAAATGGTACTCACAAAC